ATGATCACCTGCGGGTGTGCACTGTACACTGTGCAGTACTTTATCATTATTTCATATCGGCATGGGCGGGTGCATTGGGTATTATCAGTTAGCAGGCTCCCCACACTTCTGGGCTATAAGGGGTTGTGTGTGCCGTGTGGCACGATAGGCGGCCCCCATTAGTAGCGTTATAAATACCATGGCTGTCACAGCCTCAACCACTGTTCCCTGCAAAAATAATTAGCTAAAGCCAAATAATTTTATTCTGTGCACCTGTTGTAGTACACAGTTTTTTTACGCACCTCGCCGCAGGCCATGAGTCATGATAGTGCACAGTTTTCTGTGCACCTAAAGTGCACAGACATAGAACCATTTGGCTTTTGCCATTTTTGTTTGCAGGGAACAGTTGAAGCTGTGACAGCCATGGCAAAGTGCTAACTGATGGGGGGCCGTCCATCGTACCACACACAGCCCCTAGCCCAGTAGAGTGCGGGGAGCCTGCTGACGGACTTATTTTTTTTGAACGATTCTTCTAAAAATTGGAGTGTAAAAAGGTGGAGTGAGGAGGTATTCAAATTTTAATGACGTCACGGGGCACCAAACATAATTCTAGACCTCATAAGGGATCTAAAATAGGACTATTCGATTTCTGGTGAAAACTGCATCAGATCAACACCTTTTTGGGTCTTCACAATTACCTTCAAAATTTGTCCTCACTTGAATTGACCTTGACCTGACCTCAGCCTAAAAGTCATCAAATATGATCCATCTCCATATCACTAATTGAGTATGCCCTATGAATAATATTACCCATAAGACGTCGCACATATCCTTTTTATAGTTCGTCTTTGTTGACCTGACCTTGACGTTTGCATGACATGAGGTCAAGTCGGTCACGTGACCTCACCATAAATTATAAGTCAATGGGGAATTATAGAAACTGTTATTTTGGCGTCGGGAATGAGCTAAAGCTATCTCAAGCGACGGAATCGTGAATTCATGCACTCCTTGCAAGGTAGGTACACGACGATTCAATTTTACATTATTGACCTTGCATTTCGTCGTTTATGACTTCACTGAGATCATTTAAGCTTTTCGTCGATACCTTCCGATCTAATTGAGCTGGCGAGTCGAGAAAGCCACCAATGAACTCGGCAAGACCTGCCAAATCGGATGCTATGCGATATGACTTCCTTCGACCAGCTATGTAACCTAAGGTGCTCTGACTTGACCTTGACCTGAGTTCAATACCTTAGGTTGACCTCACCCGAACAAATAGTATACCATTCGACGCGTCCGGGCTAGAAAGCACGATGATGCTAAAATTGCTGCTCTGCAACCTTTTTCGGTTAGCTACCAAAAATAAACTCGTGCCCTGGGCCACTTGACCTGAACCCAGAGGTCACCGGTTGACCTGAGAACATAAAATCGGGTAGCAACCGCTGCGTCTCATAACGGTGAGTACATTCATTTTTCCGCGATGCTCTAGCTCCATTAGTGGCGAAACGGCGAGGCGGTCGTATGTACCTCCCCCCCTCCCCTTCCCCTCGGCTGGGCCGGTGTATGTAGAAAACCAATAGGACCGGCGAGGATTAACCCGCGCCCGGCTGGGGGTCCTGGATTTCCACGCCCTGCTGGGGGGGGGGGGTGTTTGAACACCCCCCCCCCTTGTAACTCGGCTCCTGGGCCACGTAGCGATACGCGGAAGGCGGCGTTCGAAAGAGCGTCAAAAATAATGACGAAATCACTTCAGTCAATTTTTTGGTCAGGTCAAAGGTCAGGTCACCAGAGGTCATTGAAGGCAAAATTTCGCCGATTTCCAGGTTGAATGTCGCAAATTTCCAAGAAGCCGACGCATAACTCGAGAACCAATAGAGCTACAGCGCCGCGGAAAAGCGCATTCGATAGCCCTATTAAAGCCCTTTCTGATTAATTCTCTCAGATTTGACCTAACGTCAACGGTTTTGCCTGCAGGGGGCAAAAACTGCAAAAATAGCCGATTTTTTCGGAAACAGTTTTTCTGCAATACCTTTTGACCCAAGCATTGTACGAGCTTACTTTTACTGGCATCGTGTTCCTCTCGTCAAGACGCATCGAATGAACTATAAGTTGACCTTGAAAGGTCAACTTGAAAATTTGACCTCAGGTCAAGGTCATGACCTGACCGGAAAGGGTCATGTTGCATATCAGTCGATCCGTATCGTCGAGCTGAACACATCTAAGGCGTTTTCATCGCTCTAGCATGCCTCTATCAAAAGTTATTTGCGAAAAACTGTTAGATACCATTCGTGACCTAAAATAACCTCAGGGCATAAACAAGGGTCACGGACACCATTTTCATGTTCAGTGTGTCTAAACCACTTGTAATTCGGTGTTTGGGAGTGTTTATAATGTCTTTTGTCCAAAAGAGGCGCATTTCAATTTTCTCCCATTGACTTATAATGGGGAGGTCGCAAAATTGACCTGACCTTAGGTCATCGATATCAAAATTCTGAGATATACATTTTGTACATGCTATTGCTCTTAGCAATCGCTGAAAGTTTCAAAGCGATCGGTCACTCGGTGTAGCTATGACAGACATTGAAACTTTTCATGAGGTGAGGTCACTTCAAGTGACCTGGTGACCTGACCTTGAATGACCTTGGTCTGAAATTTTCACAACATGTTTAGAATTGATGTATGATAAGGTGTACCAAAAACGGCGGCGCTCCCCAGCCAGCAATCCCACTCCGTTCCCGATCGGGATTTTCGGACTCAGCCCGCACCACCCCGATCGGGACCGGAGTGGGACAGGATTGGGAAATGAGACACTTTGTACGGGCTGGAACGGTCCGGATATCCCAACCTACCCCGCATGGTCGGTTGGGAGATCCCGCACGTATCCGGACCGCCTTATGACGTTTTAACAAGCGCTTAACTCCGATCCCGATCGGGATTCCCCAAATCTCCCCGCACAACCGGTTCGGAAATCCCGCACGCATCCGAACCGCCTTATGGCATTTTAACAAGCGATGAACTCCGATCCCGATCGGGATTCCCCAAATCTCCCCGCACAACCGGTTCGGAAATCCCGCACGCATCCGAACCGCCTTATGGCATTTTAACAAGCGATGAACTCCGATCCCGATCGGGATGTCCCAACTCGGCCCGCACGGCCGGTTCAGGAATACCGCAGGTATCTGACATATTAACCGCAGTCTTATAACCGCAAATTGCTGTTATGCAGATGCGACCACTTTGCTTGCGCCACCGCAACCCCCTCGCCTCTTCATTATTCTCCAATTCAACCTTTATAATGCCTGCACGACAAAATGAATTACATTGGACACTGAAATATATTCACAAATTTACTGGTTGCACACAGATCAAATTTTTACCAATTCACAGCCTGGCCAGCACATTCATGGCGTCGGCCAGCATCTTAGCGCCACTGCAAGGCGCTGGCACAGCGGACTCACTTCCGGTGTTCACAGTCATTATAGCAGGCCTGCGCCTTGTTCGTGTCGGCTCCTCTGCGGACAGTGTGTCCGTGTGCCGTCACGGGCTTCAGAGAGCCACCGCGAAACTATGTAGACGGCTGGCATCTGGTCGGGCGGTTCACCACTGTGCGAAGAGAGCATCTGAAAATGACCAGGAGGTAATTAATCAAAGTCTGGGACACACTAAAAATCACTAAGAAATAACCCACATCTGACATTTCACGTGGAATGCCAGGTAATTCAGGTTTCAAACCTACAATGCAACTAACGACACTTGACAATGAGACCAAACATCTTCTGTCCATGATAACTGATCAAACATGCGACAGCACGAGTGAAATTCACATGCCGTACAACCACAACGAACATAACAATTTATATTACCTATAGCTTTCCCGCTCCCTACATCACGGATGAAGTGTGCACTATACTCACCCTGTTCTCAAAGACGGACTGATTTCCCTGCAACGACAACAGTTGAACCGACCGCTTGCTAGAGCCAGTTCAAAAGCAGTATCCTAAGGCAGCAGCTCAAAGGAGGGATCGACACTTGACCAACGCGGCAGCTAGACTGGCCGCTGCGCTCAGAGGACGCGTCTGCCTGCACGCGGCCCATCTAATTGCTTTTCCAGGCTTTCTGGGCCACCGGATATATGGTGCCCGAAGCGCCTTCTCAGATCGGTTGGTATAACAACGTAAATCACAAGCCTGTCTAAACATGGGATTCGATTGGGCTATCCGTACCGCGTCCCAACCGATTAAGCATGCGGTCCGGAAATCCCGAGTCGCCCCTACCGCCGGCCATCGAGGTCTGGTATCGATTGGGACAACCCAAGCCTACCCAACCCGGTAGGGACAAGTCGGGACATCCGGAGCCTATCCCGACCGTCCCCAACCGCATCCCGGACGAATTGCTGGCTGGGTCCGCGCCGCCGTTTTTGAGATATTCGCGAAAAACCACAAGGGGGGTGTTCAAACACCCCCCCCCCCAGCAGGGCGCGGGTTAACACTAAGCCGACATTACGTTTATTTTACCGACATCGTGTTCGGTGTTTCTCTCGTCGAGACGCGTCGAATGCGCTGTAATTCGACTGTAATATGAATCAACATTCTGATTCAACAGTACCTAAATAAAAAATATATTTAAATATATGACATAACTAGGCCCTGGCAGGAAGTTCCTCGGTTGGTCCAGCAAATAGATCCGTATTTCAGAACGTTTTTTCAGACACGTTTTACGCGGCATTAAAAAAAAACGAATAGATAAGCGCAAAACTGATAAGTTATTTCCAGCAATCGGCGGCTGCAGTAGGTAAGTTAATTATTTCACACCTGACCTCAGCGCATTTTAGCTTCCTCACGACTCCATGGCATGCACGTTTCTGTTCTCACCGTTGCAGCACGAGCGCATTCCGGCTGCCGTCCTCCCTGGGTGCGGTGCCTCCCCAGTCCACTAACCTAACGGGAGGCCCGCGCGGCGGGACGGCGACCCCGCGGCCGAGTGCGCCGCGCACGCCCTCGACGGCCGCCGCCGCGCGGCTCAGTTTGGGCCGCGAGAGTACGGGGAGTGGTCGGGACGCGTCCGATGGGAAACCTCGGGTCGCGGATGGTGTGCTGAGAGCTGAGCTGAGAGAGGCGTTAACCTAGTGCCAGTGATGTTTGCGCTGAGGGTGACCGTCTGAAGGCAGCGGAGTTCCGTGCTGTGCCATCTCCACACCGTCCCCATATCGTGTGAGTAGCGGCTGTTTGCCAGTCATCTGTCCACCGCGCCGGCCGGACGCCGCGCCGGTCCGTTGGGGTAGGTCGGCTCCCGACGCCACTGTGTTTGCTGTCATTATTTTCGGCGTTCCTAAGTCATCGCACCTGCACGTGGCGTCATTGAGAAGTGCTGACTCGCCACTCGGGCGGCACCGTCTCCGGTGCGGCGCTACACGGGCCAGACGGGCGCTTGCAGCAGCGTGGCCACGCGCGGCGAAATTATGAGAAACTTGCGCAGACGTAGTAGACGATGTGAAATGTGCACAACCCGATGAAAGTGCATGGGAATTTGTACAATGTTTGGCGAAGTGAAAGTTGCCATCAGACACGAACGTTAAATGTCAGCTAAACGTGTGACCATTGCCAAAGTCATTTCCCGTGTCGGTGCATTTACGTGTTCGTGAGGTCCTTCAAACCGAGTTCTCACAGGCTTTACGCCCGACATGACTGCGGGCTGAGTGATATGATATTCAATTTCATATCTTAGATGGTGTTGCCAATGTGTGTGAAGCATTACCGACCGGTTGTACGACCAGACCAGACCGATTTCTATGTTACCTAGTGTCATGAAAATTTTCGAGCGATTGGTGCAGTGCCAGGTTACTGAGTACTTCGAGGAGCATGAGCTATTTATTCACAGACGCACAGCATGGCTATCGGCGCGGTCGTTCGACGGAGAGGGCGTTAGCGGTAATCACCGACAGTGTAATACAAGGCAATGGACAGTGGAGAGATATCCATTCTCGTGCTACTCGATCTGTCAAAATGTTTCAATATGTAAGAAAAACTTCACCTGTACAACATAGACACTGCATGGCCCAGGCACTATCTCCAATGTCATTCTCAGCAGGTTAGAGCTCGCTGCGCTGACGGGTCTGTCATTCTCTCAAAGTCTCTGCCAATAGAATCGGGAGTGTTCCAGGGGGGATCTCTCAGCTGTCTGCTGTTCTCCATTTCGCAAACGATATAGGTCTCCACGTCCCTGATGTCACGATCGTACAGTTTGCCGATGACACTCAGATCTTAGTATGTGGTAGAAAAGCTGACTTAGCTGGCTTAACCCGCGCCCCGTTGGGCTCTGCCGAGCAACGCGCCCCGTTGGGGGGGGGGCATTTTGGCCCCCCCCCCCCTAAGATCTCGAGAACCACGCAACCTAGCGACAAGCGGCAAACGGTGTTGGATAGCCCTATCAGGGAACTACCTTGTGACCCAATTTTATTGACCTAGGTCAAACCGATGACGTCACAGGTCAGGTCAAAGGTCCAATTTTCACCGTTTACAGGCATTTCAAGAAATGCGTTGTACAATCGAGTAAAATGCATTTCATTGAAAATCATCGATGGGGAAATGTTCTTCAAACACATATTTTGCTATTTGAGGTCACTGATACCAGGTCAGGTCACAGAGGTCAGGTCACGGGGGGGTCACAATATGAAAGTGTCGTGTGATACATGTTTTATGGTCCATTTTACATGACGAATGCGATTATGTGGGTCAGGCAGCCTTTGGGGCCAGCTTAGGTCACGTTTTGGTCAAGGTCAGGTCAAGGTCAGGTCAAGGTCAGGTCAAGGTCAGGTCAAATTAGGTCAAATTGCAAAGTTAATATGTTTGCATAAAATGGGTATCGAATCGATGCAGCTCGTCACGGGGAGTTCAATGGTGGTCTTTGTTTTGCCGTAAGTGGTCTAGAATCGCTAAAAATTGAGTTCAAAAATTTGACGTCATCATTTTTGAAGTTTTTTTCGCTATAACTTGGCCAAAAAACAAGATATCGATCTGAAATTTGGTATGTATATAGAAGAGCGCAGGGACTATCACATATATTCCAGTTTTATCGAAATTCGGAAAAATTTTGTTTTTTTTAGTTTTTCTAAAAAAATCAATTTTTTGTTTTTTTTGGGTCAAAAACCCAAAATTTTGAAAATCCGAGATAGCAGTTTTGTAACGCCGCTTTTTGTCTACTAGACCATATAAAGAACTTTGAAATTGCTTGATAACTGTAGATTTGGTGAGCGTTTCAAGATTGCATGTTTTTTGCTCATTTTTGCTCGAACATGACCTCAGTTTGACCTCAATAACTCCTGACCTAAGGTGACCTAAGACTTGAAATTTGGTGTGAAGGTGTCAAATTGATGCCCGGGAAGGTACTGAAAATTTGGCGGCGCTGCGCGCCGCCGTTTTCTTGCTATTCGGGAAAAATCACAGGGGGGGGCCAAAATGGCCCCCCCAACGGGGCGAGGGTTAATAATCCTGAGAATGGAGCGGCTCTGACGAGAATGTTTGCTTGGTTTTGTTCAAACAACATGAAAGTGAACGCGTCAAAGACTCAAATGATTGTACTCGTAACACGTCAGATGCTGAACGGACTGCCTTCTGTTAGCATTCGCTTCGCCGGTGCAACTGTTCACGAGCTCGAATCTGTCAAAAATATCGGCCTCGTTATGGACAGACATCTGACGTATCATGGCCATGTCAATTGTCAGCCATGTCGTGTCAAAGTGCACGGGATCGATATTGGCGCTCAACCACACGAAGCACGTGTTACCGCCGTCCACACTGATACCGATCGTGTCCTCTCTCGTATTGGCTGCACTGCGCTACTGCATATCTATTGAATGCATTGAAAACGCGAAAGACCACGGACGTGACACCCGCGCAACGCACAGAGACTGCGACTACCGCGGATACAATACTAAGCCAGGCGGGGCGAATTCACTGTAAAAAATATTCACTAGCTAATTTTGAAATTAGGCATTTTTTACGAGTGCCTCCCTTGCTCCTCGTTACAACATATATGGACATTAGTAGTCAGAGCCATGCACGTTAACAATGCCGCTTGTGGAACAAATGCCTACGAGCGAGAACATGTTCAGGAACCTAATTTTGCGCAGTGTTAATGAACTACGCACAGCCTCACAGTGTTACCCGCCGTTGGCTTGTTCTCGGCCAGTTTTTAGCGTGTCCCTCAATTAGGTCATTTCGCTATTAGTTCAGCTGACGAGGCCCCGGCTGGCACCTACTAAACGGATAACCTTGCGTGCAACCCTGCTTGTTGTCACGAACGCCTGCAGCTGGTAAACGTGCTGGCAAGCTTGCGTGGTAAGCGGCTTCGGATGGCTATGAGGATGTGCCTCATAGCTATCCTCGTCGCATGTTACAACCTAGGAGTCTGTGGCTGCTTTCAGAAGGAGTCCCCCCCCCCCCCGCTTCCGGGAGCCGGCGTCCATTTTGGGTTGCGTCGCCATTGCTGTGTGTGTCTGCCCAACTGCTCTTTGGCTTGATTGAAGGTGAGGCATCTTGTATCATTTGCTGTGTGCTCAACAAAAAGGTTGTCCATTTGTAAACAAAAGTTATTATGTTGTTGAGCTTCTTAGAAGATGTATAGTATCGCATAATGTTGCCCGTCGTTGGCAGAAGTGCGCCGGTATCGTCTATCCAAGTCAGAATAGCTATATGTTTGGGACTTAAGCTAGCTTGTGGCAGGAATCTATCACTTTATTCAACTTTAATTTAATCATTTTCCAGATTGGTATGCCTTATGATAATAATAATGTTAATATTCGTTTTTTCACCCATTACAGACTTCTCTGGTGAAGAATGGGGCCATGTATGTCCTGGCCTACCTGCACCCCGCGACTGCCGCCGGTGCAGAGCTAATGAAAAAATCACAAATGTTTGATGGTGGTTATTTAAGAAACCTTATTGAAAATTATTCAGTTAGTTGTTGTTGTTGTTGTTGTTGTTGTTGTTGTTTAAGTTATAGTTATTGTCCTGGCGTTGTTATTGTTCTCGTTCTCGTTCTCGTGCCCGAATAAATGTGCTGCAGCGCTACTCAGTCTGTTTACTTGCGGGTGGCGGTCGAGAGTCGGGGGCACTGGTCGACGGAATTCCGTCGACGGAATTCCGTCGACCGTGCCTCGACCCCGAAGACCAGTAGTGGTACTAGTTAAATAGTGCCACTACTGGTCTTCGGGGTCGAGGCACGGTCGACGGAATTCCGTCGACGGAATGCTAGTACCATTACTAGCCTTGGGGGCTAGTACCATTACTGGGTATGGATTAGTAGGCAGTGGCTAGTTACCTTACCAGGCAGGGGCTGTTATGACACCTAGTAGACGCACTACCCACGCTATTTACGTGCGTGTTGTCAAACTAGGTGGAGCACGGTGGTCGTATGCATACGAGGCACAGCCTTGTCGAACAAGCTTGTTACTCGGCAACTAGCCTAAAATTAGCCAAATTTACACGCTCCTGCAATGTTATTTTTGCGCTGAGAATTCCTCTACGAGGGGCTTGTAAGTTTTTTTTACAGTGAAGGCAGCTGCAGCTGTTTAGTGGCGTTCGAACACCAGCGGCAAATTGCGCTGACGTCACGCAGTCTAAGGGGGCATATGCAGTAGCCCCTTAGAATCCAAAAACTGCAGACTTCAAAATTAAATATTTCCGAATTAAAGCATTTGGCACAACGTGCCAGTTCCAAACCGGTACCTATAAAGCGCAAACCAGGGACTCAAATTTGGCTATGTCAACTAAAAACTAATGTTCATGTGGGAATGGGATGGTCACTTTAACTAGATTCAAGTGTAGACCTTCAAATAAAAATAGATTGTGATTGTACATATATCGTACCGGAACCGACCCGTTTTTCTCGTGTCGGGTCGCGGCCGGCCGGCCGCGGACCATTTTCAGAAGTGGCGGGCAGACCGTGCGTCGAGTACTTGCTTTCTCGCGCGGCGGTACTGGGGTTCACTAGCATTGTTTAAAATATTTTCATTTGCCATGAACTTGAAACTTTACACTGTAATTAACGATCATTTGTCAATTATAACAAATTCTTCAAAATTCTTCTTTGAAAGCAAATGATTTCATTTTACTCAAGAATTGTCTTGTCCACCACTACAACCGCCACCCAGCCGCCATCCATTGGAAGAGATAGGCTCTGCGGCACAAAGTGTCGTTTTAAACTGGACTGGGAACCAATGTGTGATGCCATTTCGAGCTAAATTTATGCTCATTATGTACCTAGAAGCATTGGGAACAACGCTCTGACTGTACATTTTTAGATTTTTGCCTCTAAATGAAAATATTTACAATCAAGTACTTTGCGAGCGCAGTTTAGAAGCTCCCGTAATGTTAAAGTCCTATCTCCTACACGCATGTAAATACTGCTCTAGGGAACCAACATTTCGCATCGTACTAGCTTTAAATTATATCTATATTGTTCCCAGTACTTTCCTGAACACTGTGGTGAGTGTACATTTTTCGTTTTTTGCTTTACAAGCGTAAAATTCGTCTGGTTTTACACCACTTCATTCGCCTCCATAACGCCTCCATCATTCGCCTCCCCTCCGTAACGGCGCCGCGCGGCCCGGCCGGCCAGCGCCCGCTGTAGTTCCAAACACTGCCCGATAGATGGCAGGCGCAGAAGTGGTCCCAGCCGTCCCGGTACGTGCCGTCCATCTGTTTGCACTTAACCATCTCTCTTTACGGACTTTTTTTGGACGAGCCACTTAGGAAATTGGTGAGATAGTATCTCATGGGTCAGTGGAGAATAGGTGCCGGCCGACCACTCACTGTGATGCTGCAGACGGCACCGGCAGAATTTCCCGGACTCATTGTTGGTGGTCATCGGGCGCCAGGGGCCGCATGGCAGACCTGGTGTGTTCACTGTATAGCGACTCTCCCAGGCCCGCCCTATACCGGCCGTGAGTCGCGACCACGCTGACCTATATGGAACTTTGATCGATCTGTGGCTCTTAGCCAAGCAGTCGTATGATCTCGTTTCAAATTTGTGTGCCCTCTCTCTCTCTCTCTCTCTCTCTCTCTCTCTCTCTCTCTCTCTCTCTCTCTCTCTCTCTCTCTCTCTCTCTCTCTCTCTCTCTCTCTCTCTCTCTCTCTCTCTCTCTCTCTCTCTCTCTTTCACTTATTTTCATGATTTATTTTATACTCATTAATCAAACAAAAAGACTTTCTCTTAGTAACAATGACACGTCAACGCTGGGTTTCTATTTGTCGCGGAACACAGATTTAGCCCACTTCAGTTCCAATTCGATTGAATTTAGAAACGCCAGTTTCATGATGAGCAAAACAGTGGTAAAATGACCTGAAATAAATAAAATGCATGATAATAAGCAAAAAAAAAACCTACACAGTTGAAGAAAAGTCCAAACATAAATGCAATAAATCTTAACATTCCCTCTCAATGATGTCGATATTCCACATTCCTCCGCCAATCCCTATGGTATGCGTTTCAGTACTGCATAAGTACGTTCTTTAACCCTCGCCCGTAAACGGCGATCTGCCACCTTCGCCCATGCAGGGGGGGGGTTGGTGCGACCCCCCCATTGGCGTTTGAAAACGGAGCGTCGTAGAGCTTAGCGGAAAAGACCAACGGATTGCTCTCGCCGAGATCTCGCGATTGGTGGTATATTTTTTGGTCCTAGGTCAACATTTGACCTACTTTTGACCGGTCAGAGGTCAAATTTTCGGAAAAATAGACTTTTTTCAACTTTCCGCGGCGATTGCGGCAAAACGGTGAGAGATATCGACTTGAAACCTTCACTATCGTGTTCCTTGATCAATTCTCTATCGTTTGGTATGTATTTCGTTTCCCTAGCTCTAAAAATGGCGCGTTGGGAGCGCCGGAAGTCGGCAAGGTCACAGTCGGCGGCAGAAATTCGAAAAATCAAAATTTAAATTTTTGAAATCTGATTGTATTTTTGGATTTGGAAGGTCCATTTGCTCCCTATAGAAGCTAATATTGCTGCATATTCCCATTGAGGTGACAAGAATTAGCAAAATAGTGGTTCGGGCGCTTTTCAAAAATAGTACCGGACGCTGTTCCTCTTGTGACGTCATAGCTCCGTGACCTGACCTGACCCGGTCAAGTTTCTTATACCATATGATAGCCAATACTTGCCCCAACATGCATGGGAAGTTTCATCACGATCCATCAACCGATGTCCGTACCACCGGCAGGAAACCTCGGGCGTTGGCACTCAATTTGTGAAAATCCGGCCGGAGGCTGTTCCCTTTGTGACGTCATAACTCCGTGACCTGACACGACCCGGTCAATTTTTTTTTATCAAAAGATGCGCAAGGTTTGCCCCATAAGGTACCCAAAATTTGGCGGCGCTGCGCGCCGCCGTTTTTGCACTATTTCCGAAAAACCTCAGGGGGGGTTGCACCAACATGGGCGAGGGTTAAAAATTATATGGGTGTGACTAGGTTTCGAGCGGATGGTCCCGCGCCAACCACCAAGTGCCGGAACAGCGGTGGAGTTCGCGGCCCAGCCACCGCGTCGCGGTGCCGTTTCCGACGAGCCATGCAGCCCGACAGCTTCACCCGGGCGACGGTGCCGCTGCCGACCGCGCGACCCGTTACCCGGGGTCACGGTAGAAGTGCGTGACGACACGGTCCGAGTCCAGCCGCCGTCCTGGCGGCCGTGCTTTTTGTGACAGCCGTCCGCCGCTAGACACACGGACCAGACCGGCCGAGAAGCGTCCGTCCGCGGCCAGGTTACCGTTACTCACGGCCGATACAGGCCAACGGTGTACGGCGGGGAGGCTCTCCGCGTGAATGGCGGCGCTCGTGCCGGCCGGATAGCGGCCGGCCGGCCGGCCGACCGGCGCTTCGTGAGCGCCGTCTCAGCGGCCCGCAGGACGCGCCGAGTTGGCAGATGTAGAGAGGACATCAGACATGGCTGGTGTGCCGAGTTCAAGTTTTCACTGTTCAGTCGGTTTCTAAGGCTGCTCATATCCTCTCATATTCGCCGCGGTGCATTATCTCACACCCGGGTGAGGGTCTCAGCCAACTTCGCCATGGCGGGGGATGGGACAACACCAAACAAGGTTATCTCGGAAACTCAAAAAGCTACACAGGTGTAGAAAAAGCAGCAAGATCTTTTAGCTCGCTGTAAGATCTTTTAGAAGTATGAAAGGTCGTTTTTCAAGCAGGTCATCGCTGAGGTCACTGGAGGTAGCCAGGTGTAAAAATAGGTAAGAAGTTTCCCGTTTTGTATCTCGGGAACGAATAGTGCTAAATCGCCGCGGAAAAGCGCATTTAATGTCTCTTTTAAGGCTCTTTCTGAATAGTGCTCTCAACTTTGATCTTGTGTCAACGATTTAGCCGCCAGAGTGCAAAAACTCAAGAGTTAACGCTTTTGCGGTAAACGTTTTTTTTTTGCAATAGTTAACTTATGACACCGATGTTGTATTACGTTGCTTTTACCGGCATCGAAAGAACAATACGTTACCGCGTCGAGTGAACACAATACATTAGCACCAGTATAACGCCTTTTGGGGCGACTAACGGAGCGAGCGAGAGGGTGAGCCTTGCACGTGCAAAATTTCGAGGGGGTACCTCCAGCTGACTTGTGCACGGCACCCTACTAACCGGTCTCTAGCGATGTGCCAAATTTGAGCACAATCGGCCCAGCCGTTCTCGAGATCTGGAAACGACCCCTGCACGTGCGCACGTGCAGCAGCACCCCAACTCTGGCACATGGATATGCAGTTCTTAGTGGGTGCCTACCTACATGCCAACTTTCAGCGCAATCGGCCAAGTAGTTACCGAGATATTGCAACAATTACAAAACTGACACCTCTTCGTTTTGCACGTGGCACGTGCATAAGGGGTCACCCACATGCATCGGGAATAGTCCAATACTTGGCAGAAGGAATGAAGCTACCATACAAAAATTAGGTACTGCGTGTAAATCAGTCAAGTGGTTGCTGAGATATAAGCCTCGCAAAAGCGTCCGCACGGCCGGCCGGCCGGCCGGCCGCTCATACTCAGAAATTTCCATTATCTAAGGAAAGACTCCGCTCGCTTCGCTCGCTCCGTAATGAAAAAGTCAACTTCAAAATTTGACCTCTGGTCAATGTCGCGGAAAAAGTCATGTTGCATATCAGTCGATTATCATTGAGCTGAGCGCATCTATAAAATGATTCTCTCGCTGTAGCATGTCTGTACCTAAAGTTATTGTAAGAAAAAAAAACTGCTGGAGTTTGCAAGACCCGAGATGACATCAAGGGTATAAAGAGATGTGCCATTTTCCGGTTCAGTGAGTCCATCCTGATGTCTGACATTCACTCAGTTCAACTCATCCTAACAATATCCGGGTTATATATCCCGATTTTGGCGGATGATGCGCCTTATATTTATTAATTATCATACTCTGGTGCTGTTGCCACGAGCTGACCTCAACATCCCTGAACTGCAGTTACTTTGGTTTTTGACAGCCCGTTCTTTGGGTTACAGGTCGGCGATGTACCCGGCCCAGCCTCTCCGTCGGAAGACTCTGGTCTGGCTGGTGGCGGGTGTGACCTGCCTGGGGCTGTTTGCCGCCTACAACACGATGGTCAGGCGGCAGGAGCTGGCGATGCCCAGATACCCGGTAGCTTTACCGCCGGAGCGCGAGTCCACCGGCTCCGCGGGAGCCGCCGACAATACAACGCCGACATACTCTGTGGGTCCCACCAGTCATGTAGACCCCACTAGCTTATCAGGCCCCTCCGGTCCCATCGGCCCCGCGGGGGTTCCCGAGCTGTCCGTCGGTCCGGGTCCGAAGGATGAGCCCAAGAGTGATGTGAACGATGCTCATGCACCGACGAAGACCGGCGACGAGCCTCCCCAGGTCTCGGACGGGTTTCGAGAGTTCAGAATTGAGGACAACCCGGCGTACCGTTCTACGATAACGCCAGGAGAGCTGACCAGCACTGGTGACACAGCAGCCACCATTCACACTAAGGTGGCCGAACTACTGACTCAGGGCGCCTCTCATCTCATCAGCAGGATGATGTCTGACCGCCAGGAGGTTCGTAGTGTACCACCTCAGACTCAGACGGGGGAAGGATCAGAACGGACTGATGCGTCAACGGGACCGATGACACTTAGTGGGAGCGTGACGCGTCAGCAGCAGGAGCAGCAGCAGCAGCAGCAGCAGCAGCAGCAGCAGCAGCAGCAGCAGCAGCAGCAGCAGGAGGAGGCAGAGCCGGTGCGGTTCACACCGCCGCACCAGGTCCTCGTCCACCTGGACCTGAAGGGCGCGCCGCCGTCGGTGCCGTTCCTCCGCGAGGTGATCTCACTGGCCGCCGGCCTCGGCGCCACCGGCCTGCTGATCGAGTGGGAGGACAAGTTCCCGTACTGGGGCGAGCTGGCGCCCGTGACCGCCGGGAACGCCTACACCATGGACCAGGTGCACGACATCCTGGCGGCAGCGGCGGCGCACAATCTGACCGTGATGCCGCTGGTGCAGACGTTCGGCCACCTCGAGTACGTGCTGAAGCTGCCGCAGTTCGCCGGGATGCGCGAGGACCCCGACTCGCCCCAGGCGCTCTGTCCGTCGCGGAACGAGAGCAACCGCCTGGTGCGGACGCTGCTGGACCAGGTGATGACGGCACACCCGGGCGCCGAGCGGGTCCACATCGGCTCTGACGAGGTGTTCGTCCTGGGCAAGTGTGAGCTCTGCCGGCGGAGGAGGAAGGATGACCTGTTGCTGGGTCACATCGCCCTCACGGCCAACTACGTGCGCCAGCGGTACAACGCCACCGCCGTGCTTTGGGAGGACATGCTGCGGAACGCTGCCTCTAGCCGGCTGCGCCAGTACGGCCTCGACCAAGGTCTGGTCGAGCCGATGCTCTGGTGGTACACACCCAACGTGCGCAAGTACGTGGCGCCAAGGGTATGGCGTCACGCCGAGCGCGTCTACCCGCACGTGTGGGGTGCCGGCGCGTACAAGGGCGGCTTCGGCTCGGCGCTTTTCTCGCCGCCGATCGACCGGCACGTGCAGAACAACCTGGACTGGACGGAGCTGCTGGCGGAGGAGGACGGCCGGCTGGCCGGCGGCGTGCGCGGCCTGGTGCTCACCGGCTGGAGCCGCTACGACCACTTCGCCACGCTGCCCGAGCTGCTGGCCGCCGCTGTTCCCAGCCTGGCCTTCAGTCTGGCGGCCGTGCGGCGCGGTGCCTTGGACGAGACGGCAGCCGAAACGGCGCAGCGGGCGCTGGGCTGCATGGCGCCCGTGCCTCTGCGGCAGCTCACCTGGCCGTACCTGTACAACGAGATGTCCCGGTGCCGCTTCCCCGGTCAGGGAGTCTACCTGCTGATGCAGCGTTACAACCAGACGGCAGTGCACGTCCGCGACCTCCTGGCCGAGTTCGAAACGGGACAGGACTCCTCCTGGCTGGGACGCTACAACGAGCGGCACAACTTCACCAGCGTGCTGAAGGTGCGGGAGGTGTTCCCCAAGGTGTTCCGGATGCGGCAGCTCACCGCCCGACTGCTGCGGCCGCTGTACCACGAGCTGAGCAGGATCTACGACCGTGACATAGTGCTCGAGTGGCTGGAGCACCGGGTGCTGCCACTGCTGGAGGACTTGGACCAGCTGCTCGAACGTCTGGAGACCATGAGTGCCAGGCGCGAGTTCCCCGCCAGACCGCTGCGGGGCTATCCGGAGCACTTTCTCCGGTACATGGACGAGTTTGTGACCGGCTGGCGCTCTAAGCGCTGAGACAGGCGAGCTGAGTGCGCGAAAGGGCAGCGGAAAGACTCGGACGCGGGCCTGACCTGCCGGAGCGTGCGAGAGCCGCCAGCAGTGCTGTGATATACTTTTGTTCATCGCAAGCTGCAACTTGCCAATAACTGTTTTGACGTGCGAGTTTTACATCACAGGGTTTTCTTTGTGTTCACAATGTCAACAGGTTTTAAGTGCACCACTTTTGTGGGAGAGGTTTAGTTGATTATGTGTGATGTTAGTTGACGACATTACCGGAGAATATGCTTCGGTCAGACACTCGTTCGTGGGTGGATACTGGATAGGCATTGGTAGGTCTAATGACGTGTGCGGGGTTTGGATTATGAATACGAGTAGAAATACAAGTCGTAAAACTGTCGCACGTCTTGTTACTGCATAAAACAACATGAGCTGGAACTTGGAAGCCAGAATCAAACTCTGTCAGTGTCAGGCTTTATACCCTTTCCAAGCTTTATCAGCACCGCAATAGACGTCCCATGACCACTTCGGTCATAAATATTTACACATAGACCCGTCCGTTCAGCTATAGGCCGCCGTATACTGAATGCTGGCAGGTGCCATTTGCATGCATGGCCGCACACGGCTGTACATAAACGCCGTGCACCGGTGGCGTGGCCTGTCACCTCGCATGGCGTCAAACCCTAGCGCGCACGACCCGCGTCACGGCCCGCCGCCGTGCCGCCAGGGAACGACGAGCGGAGTTTTGGTTGGCAGCGCAGGGCCGAGGTGCCGCAGTGGCACAGGTACAGTTGTGTACGGGGAGGTACCGCAGCGCCACGCCGGGGTACCACAGAAGCACAGGGTCAGGGAGGGAGCCAGAGGCCCCTCCGCAGGGCGGTTCAGTCGTGAAGGGAGGACGTCTGTGTGAGCCCACAACGCGCTCGTATAACCGGTCTGACTCGCTCTGGTCTGAACCGCCCCGGCTCCCGTGCACCGGCCACCGCATGCTGCGCGACCGATGACCCGCGCAGAGCGAACAAGCCAGGAAGCCCAGAACCGGGCGGCACGCCGTAGCCGGAACTCGTGGAAAACGGATTAAGGACGGACGTCGCAGCGCGAGTGGATTAGGCTAAGGTAACGATCGTCTTCCTGTTTGCAACTCCAAATCTTTTCAACTGAGGTCATACGAGGTCATGCCTGTTCGTTAGATAAAATACGTAGGTAGATATACCTATTCAAATCGATGTGTGGGTTTGGGACATCACAAGTTACCATCTATGACGGTAGTATATGACGTTAAATAGGCACAGGTGTATGTTTGCGGTACGTATATATGTTTCCATCCTTTTGTACCACCCTGTACATTGTAAGCCTTCTCGAGCGCGGATTAGTGAACCAGTGGGACAGGCTCCAGGTTCAGGACCAGTCATCCGCCCGCATCGGGCTTGTCTGGCACTAAGTGGTGCCGCCGGCTGTCATCCTCCGATTAGATCAGACAATGAAAAAGCCGCACAGACAGGCGTAAAAAGATGAACAGACGGCAAAACCCGACAGCAGACGGACCGGTCGGAGGGCACGTCAGCCATTACCACTCGGAGACGCTGCGATCTGTCTTGAAATCTTGCTGCACCTTGAGTGTGCTTTGTCGAGCGTCTCACGCATTCTCCACGAAACCTGGGGCCTACATGTAAGCAGTGGCTGGTGGAACAATTCAACTCGAATGCCGGCCTGTGGAGAAGAGCATATAAGCCTTTCCAACATCCGTCGTCTCCGGCGTCTTTTCCTTTTCTGGACATGAGACCTAATAGAAGGGGCAAACGAGCCACCGGTATTATGCTATCGGAATGCGCTCACACAGTCCAACACCAATTTAATTACACTGTCAGCGAAAATCAGCGGAGTATACGGATTACATATTTCACGGGTCAAGTCAATCAATGGGGTGCCGGATGACCTTAGACCCAGTCTGGCACGGCACGGGTCACGTCAGGGGCGTTCCACGACAAATCGACAAATAAAAAATTAAATTTGCACCCTCATATTTTATTTTTCGTTGAAAACTGGTGTATGGGGTTGTGATGGGCGGGGAAGCCAGCTGTGGCAAGGATTTTTTTTCTCCGAACAACGGTTTCCGAGATATAGCCTCGGGCAATTCCTGGAGGTCGCGCTGCAGCCCTATGTTTGGCGGCCTATAACTAAAAAACTATTGGTTTTCTACGATAAAAACTTTATATGGTTCAACTCACAATCAGACAACAAACATTTTGGCTATCTCGGATTTTCATTTTTTGAAAATTTTGATCACGTGACCTTTTGACCTATTTTTCAAAGAGTGACCTTGATATTTTCCCCACTGAAAGTTGCAATTTTGTCTGATGACGATTAAAGCCTTATCGATTTTCATTCCTATGCGAAAATAAAAAAGTGGATATCGCCCTGCGTTGACCTCAGGTCAGGTCATTTTTATGACCTGTCCATTATTACGAGCGGGAGTGACAGTGAGATCTCGAGAATAAAGCAAGATAGCGACAAGCGGTAAACGTTGCAGGGTACGAACGGATAAGGTCTATAATTTTTACTGAGGTCATTTTCAGGTCAGGTCAAAGATGACGTCACAGGAGCAAAAAGGAAGTCAAAATAGCGGCACTACATATATATATGAAGTTTTTCTCGAATAACTTTTAAGGTATCCCAGCTAGGAGCAAACCAATAGCACCATCGTGATCCTCTCGTCGATCCGCATCGAAACATATGTATGTTGACCTCGAAAGGTCGAAAGGTCAAAAGTTGACCTTAGGTCACGTGACGAGCGGGAGCGACAGCGAGATCTCGAGAATAAAGCAAGATAGCGACAAGCGGTAAACGGTGCAGGGTACACACGGATAAGGTCTATAACTTTTACTCAGGTCATTTTCAGGTCAGGTCAAAGATGACGTCACAGGAGCAAAAAGGAAGTCGAAATTGCGGCACTACATATATATGAAGTTTTTCTCGAATAACTTTCAAGGTATCCCAGCTAGGAACAAACTAATAGCACCATCGTGATCCTCTCGTCGATCCGCATCGAAAGATATGTATGTTGACCTCGAAAGGTCGAAAGGTCAAAAGTTGACCTTAGGTCACGTGACCTAAGGTCAACTTTTGACCTTTCGACCTTTCGAGGTCAACATACATATGTTTCGATGCGGATCGACGAGAGGATCACGATGTTGATATTAGTTTGTTCCTAGCTGGGATACCTTAAAAGTTATTCGAGAAAAACTTCATATATATGTAGTGCCGCAATTTCGACTTCCTTTTTGCTCCTGTGACGTCATCTTTGACCTGACCTGAAAATGACCTCAGTAAAAATTATAGACCTTATCCGTGTGTACCCTGCACCGTTTACCGCTTGTCGCTATCTTGCTTTATTCTCGAGATCTCGCTGTCGCTCCCGCTCGTAATAATGGACAGGTCATAAAAATGACCTGACCTGAGGTCAACGCAGGGCGATATCCACTTTTTTATTTTCGCATATGAATGACAATCGATAAGGCTTTAATCGTCATCAGACAAAACTGCAGCTTTCAGTGGGGAAAATATCAAGGTCACTCTTCGAAAAATAGGTCAAAAGGTCACGTGATCAAAATTTTCAAAAATTGAAAATCCGAGATAGCCAAAATGTTTGTTGTCTGATTGTGAGTTAAACCATATAAAGTTTTTATCGTAGAAAACCGATAGTTTTTGAGTTATAGGCCGCCAAACATAGGGCTGCAGCGCGACCTCCAGGAATTGCCCGAGGCTGTATCTCGGAAACCGTTGTTCGAAGAAAAAAATCCTTGTCACAGCTGGCTTCCCCGCCCATCACAACCCATTAGACCAATTTTAACCCGCGCCCCACTGGGGGGGGGGCTATTTATAGCCCCCCCCCTCCCGTTTTTCTGCAATAACTTCCAAACCGCTTGACGTATCGACGCCAAACTTTCAGTACCTTTGGCTGCATCAATTTGACACCTTGTGTCAAAATTTGAACTTCGTAGCTACCATAGGTCGGCCGGAAATGACGTCAGAGTGACGTCATGTTCGGCCGATTTCGACGCAAAACATTGAACCACGGCAATCGCTCCCAAGGGCTCAGTTTTTAAGCTAGATCCAATTTCTTTGCATGAGAGGACTCAGAATAGACTGCGCTATCAAACTGCTATCTCGGATTTTCGAAATTTTGAAAATTTTGAAAATTTTATAAAACAAAATTCAAAATTTACATTTTTACATTTTTTTTCAAAAAGTTTTTGACTTTTCGAAAAAAAACCGAAATATATGTGATAGAACGCGTTATTATGACTAGCTCTAGCAAGTTTTAGCTAAATATCTTCAAAAATGGCCAAGTTTTACGCATTATTGCAAAAAATTAACAATTATTAATTTTACAAATCAATTTTTCAGCACGAATTTGACATCGTACGCCAATATAAATAGCACCATTGTGTTCCTGAGCTCAAACTGCATCCAATAGATACCTTTTTTGTTGAAAAATTTTAACTTCAAAATTTGACCTTTTTTGACCTGAAAGTGACCTGACCTAAGCTAAATTTGACTCAAAATGACCTCGAATGACACAGACGACATCAAATTCGAAATGTTTGGCCTAAATAGACCATAAAACATGTGTCACGTGACCGACGGATGATATAATATTTTCGTGACCTGTGATGACCTGACCTTGACCTGAAAATCAAAGTACAAGTTTGGTACCCTCAGAGTATCTAGAGCATCTGTTCACGAAAGTGTGAACCAGAAATGAGCCTGATCTGACTTGTAAGACGGCGGCCAGAGCCCAAAACGTGAAGAAGCCAAAATGCTAATAATTTTTTCTTTGACCTGACCTGTGACGTCATCGGTGACCTCGAGGTCAATGAAATTAGGTTTCGCTCGACAGTTTTTCCAGGGCTATCAGACGCCGTTTGAATTTTGACGATCGGCCCAGTAGTTTCGGAGTTAGGAGGGGGGGGGCTATGAATAGCCCCCCCCCCCCCCCCAGTAGGGCGTGTTATACGCAGACCCCAGTGGGGCGCGGGTTAAGCAAAAAATAAAATATGAGGGTGCAGGGCACTTGTCGATTTGTCGTGGAACGCCCCGTCAGCCACTGAGGTGCTGGATGACCCGGGACTCGCAATCTGACACGCTTCGGCTGAAGTCAGCCGCCACCGGTCAGTTCAGCCATCGCAACGGGGCCGCTGGTCGCTGAATGAGCATGCTCCCGGACCCATTCTGGCACATCAGCCGCGACGGCCCCGGTCAGGTCAGCCATCGGGGTACTGAACAATCATTATCTGATTATCTTCCTCTGTCCCGATTTCTGTCTTTGTATGTCCGACTGTCTTCTCTCTCTCTCTCACTCTCTCTCTCTCTCTCTCTCTCTCTCTCTCTCTCTCTCTCTCTCTCTCTCTCTCTCTCTCTCTCTCTCTCTCTCTCTCTCTCTCTCTCTCTCTCTCTCTCTCTCTCTCTCTCTCTCTCTCTCTCTCTCTCTCTCTCTCTCTCTCTCTCTCTCTCTCTCTCTCTCTCTCTCTCTCTCTCTCTCTCTCTCTCTCTCTCTCTCTCTCTCTCTCTCTCTCTCTCTCTCTCTCTCTCTCTCTCTCTCTCTCTCTCTCTCTCTCTCTCTCTCTCTCTCTCTCTCTCTCTCTCTCTCTCTCTCTCTCTCTCTCTCTCTCTCTCTCTCTCTCTCTCTCTCTCTCTCTCTCTCTCTCTCTCTCTCTCTCTCTTCCTTCCCCCACCAAGTGCACAACAGGCGGATATCGCTTCATAGCGGAAGTACGGAAGCATACGGAAGTAGCCAGCTCGGCCCGACAAAATAAGCCATGAAATGCGACACATTTCCATGACACGTACCCTCCGATTTCCACAGCGCGTTTGTATCTGTCAATCTGAAAAAGACGGCCACCACCAGAAGATCAAACTGTATTCACACCGCTGGGTACCTTGCAGATAAAATGGCTGCCTGTGTACAAAAGAGCGCGCGCGCCAGCGAGTAAATAAGAATCGTTCTACAATGTAAGTGTCTCTCTATTTTCACATAGCTGCATCCGTAGCAACCAAGTTTCAGACGAACGTAACGTGAATCTCCGAGAAGCACGATTGACCTGCGGGCGGGGGCCGGGCGGGGGCGGGGGCGGGCGGCTCGCCATCCGCCTCCGGGCGCGAATACGCGGCCCTCCGGGCGGAGGCGGCAGCTGCGTACGATCGGGGCGGGGGCGGGGGCGGGGGCGGCGGTGTCTCCGGCGCCTCGCTGCGCGGCGATGCGGGGTACAGCCGCGTCGTCGCCCGTTCAGCTGGGCCTCTGCTCCTCCTCCCTGTCGCGTCGGGCGGTACATATCGGAGGAGTAGGCAGCGGTACTTACAGCGGCGGCGGCGGCGGCGGCGGCGGCACGGCGCGCAGCACACGCCCAAAGCGACGGCCACACCCGCCGACCAACGGCTCTGCGCACAGCTAACAATCACTGATTCAGCTTCGGCCCACAGGCGGTACTCCGATGAACACATGCACACAAGCTGTCGTGAATTTTAAAACATGCGTAGTAGTAATATAGCTCTGTCTCGCGGCGGGGCGGCTGCTGCCGGCGGCGGACCGGGCGGGGCGCCGCCGGACCCGCGCGGCCGCCACATCCAGCCACCTCGGACACCGTGCGGCAGCGGCTGTCTCTCTATCTCGTCCTCTCCCGATCACGCGTGTTGACTCGCTGTCCTGCTCTCCTCACAGCGGCTCGGCGGACAGTCCGCGCGCTCTCTTGCTCGCGTCTCACTCACTCACTCTATCTTTCTCACTTACACACGCGTGTGACGCCGTCTGTCCGTCGTCGTATCGCGGCCGGCGGCGAGCACCACTGACGACACTCGGCGAGCCTTGACGACACTCGGCGAGCCACTGACGACACTCGGCGAGCCACTGGCGACACTCGGCGAGCCACTGGCGCGCTGCCGCTCACTTCGTCTCTCCGGCAGTGGCTGCAAATGGTAGGGGCTACTGTCACACACAGGCACCAAGAGGTAAGAACCATAGCTGTTTATAAAACAGCCTGCACGTAATAGTCAAAAACAATCCCATCACCTAGAACCAGAAAATGAGGTGGCAAATCAGATCCCTGATCAAACTGATTTCAATGTGATAAAAAATGTTAAGGGACTCCAACTATCCCTCAACCCCCGGCAATTACAAGATGAAGAGATCTCGGTGAAACAAGGGACAGCGCAGACTTTTTTTCGTTTTTTTTTTCTCGATAAAACGAACCTTAATAATATCTGCCGTTCGTTTACTTGGACGCCTCTTCCTTTTTGTCCTTCTTCTTATCCTTCTTCTTCTTCAAGAAGCTGGGTGTCCTCAGGCCCTTCTTCTTCTTTTTATCCTTCTTCGATGCCTCACTTGTAGAGATATCCTATAAAAACAAGGTGTTAACATTTTGACATACCATCGCCACCGAAGGCAGTTAGCTAAGTATCCAGGCCCTCCCCCGTAACACAAACCCACCCCACCATCTCCAGCGCCATAGGATGTCTGAAGCGCCTGGCGGTCGCTCGTCACCGCCGCGCCATGAACGTACCTCCTGATCGGTGTGAGACACAGTCGACATGTGACCGGTGTCCGTCTCGTCGCCGTTGGCGGTCAGGTCACCTGTGGGTCAGCACGGGTCACAGAGGTCAGTCGCGCTGCACCGCTCAGTCGGAACGAGTTGGTGCGGGCGGGGGCCAGTAGTGCCTATTGTGCGCACTTGTTCAACGGTCCAAGACTATGAGGTAGGCCGAGCAGATCTGATACCACTGGTGAATGCAGCGTCCATAATTCCATAAGTTTGGCTACTGGCCACATCTGCATCGCGATCGTCAAGCACCGCTGCACCGCAATCGGGAGACAGGGGTAGACCAGGCGAAAAAAGCCAATACAATGCCGCATACCTCAAACGAACTTCCTTGGAGAACGATTGTAATTCGATATTAAAAGTTATTAATATAAATGAAAATGATAAGAGCAAAAAAAGAGAAATATTCTACTCGACTTGCAACATCCTTTTTATAGCTGTTTTATCAAATTTCAACAGCGAAACAAAATAAACGAAAAAATAAACGAATTTTCACGAATGAGCATTAGTAGCTAATGGTTATAACACTAACCAGCAATGATGTAAGGCGACAAACGTAAAAGCAAAGCAGATAAGTACAATAGACACTATGTACAAAAGCTGTTATACGTCCAGTTATAATTTTAAGCGAACGGTACAAAAGCGATTAAGTATTTCTCCGTTGTGCTGATGAATGTAGGAAGGAGAGTCCTGAAGCGCCGTTTGATTTTGCTATCAGCTGTGCGAGTCGCACATCGCACAACTAAGCAAATGTACAGACTGGAGCCCGACGGACCGTGTAGATTATTGAATTAGCTTGTTTTGCTGGAAGCTTCCCGTAAATGCCACCAGAGGTCAGTGGAGCGCTGCCGAGGACTGAGAAATGAGAACGCTCGAAGCCACCGAGCCGGACAGGACACAGCCGCGACACGGCGGCGGCAGGACAGGCCCTCTGCAGAGTCCCGAAGCTGCAACCCACGCGGGACACCGGAGCAGAATATGTCCAGCTGTATGTATGTACAGCGGCCGGACAGAGACGCCGACTGCCGGACGGACATCACCCGCTCCCGAGCCCCAGCGACCACCACGACCACTGCAGCTGACGGTCCACCCGACAGACGGACGGACAGACGGACGGACAGACGGATAGACGGACGGGCAGATGGCCGACCCAACACCAAGCCAAGCGAGCCGCCGGACGGACGGCCACGGACGGCCGCACTTACGCTGAGCGGTGCCCGAGCGCGGCGCCGGCGCCGGCGCCGGCGCTGTGGGCGCGCGCACCGGGGGCACCGGCTTCACGCGCGGGTTCTCGGCCAGAGGCATGGGGAAGTGGGTGCCGGCGAGGCCCCGCGGCGAGGCCGGGGAGCCGGTACCGGCCGGACTGACTGGGGAGACTGGCGGCTGGCTGCCGGGCCGGCCGGCCGAGCGCGGAGACTCCGGCTCACCCTCTGCGATCGACCGGCTCGTCAGAGGGAGATACAGACACACCACGGGACGGCCGCCGCTCGGACGGACCACCCGCACAGGCGGAGAGGCCGAGCGAGCCAGACCGTGTCTAACTGATACGGCGAACGGCTGAGGTAAGTGTATCATTAGTGAGACAGATAAAACGATCAGGTTAATGACACATCAATCAACTAATGTAATACACGATATCAATCGATTGAGTTAGAGCAGATACACACCAAAACAAACTATGGATTAGTTCACGACAAACCCACCAGGCGGACAAGACGCCGCGGGTAAACACAACGAACTGAGTTAGTGAAACACCACGGTAAGCTGACGGACCAGAGGACGTTCACACGGCTGGCGTTCACACAGTCAAACGTGACGGCTGCCCGTTCTCCTGCAGCGCGTCTGAAGCTGGAGACATCACACTCACGCCACAAAGGGAGCAAACCCGACAGCGGCCTTCTAGCCGGGCGGGCTGAGCCGAGACGCGAATCCCGGTACAGCGGTTAGTTGGCAATCACCCCAAACGGCACAAAAAGAGATGGGACGGGACAGACACGTCACGGCACACGTGTGACGCCACCTGACACGCTGCCGTCGGCCGTCAGTGTAACGGGGTGCGCCTGTGAGGCGCGCGGCACCTGTACCGACGCCACGCGGTCCGTGCGCGGCGGCAGCGGCGGCAGAGACGCTGTGGACGGGCGGCGCGGCGCGTGCGCGGTCAGAGGAGACAGGTGGCACGGTATCCGCAGAGACACAATTGTGGGACACGGGTCGCCCGTCGGTGGCCGCGTGATCAGCAGTCGCCGCACATTCACTGGAAGTCTGATAAGGATAGCCCACACAAAGGAAGATATAATAATGGTCGCTAGAGCGACTATGCACTGTGTAGCGGCTGCTGAATGTACGCAGCAAAACCAAAATAATGTGCCACTTTTTCCATATAACAAAACACTGATTGCACCAAAAAGGAACCAAACCATACTAGGCAGACAACTAAATAAACAAACAATAATGCAGCCAGTTAAACAAACGCATCAACGGTACAACAGATAAAGAACACGTACAATGAAGTCAAAAACACAATTGAGCATCAATAATGCTATCGTATGAAACTGAAATATGAGTATATGACTTTGCATTGAAGGCAGGGGGAGGGATGTAACACAGGATTTGAATGGATAAATGGATATGAGGAATGAGGATTCATATGAGGACATAAGTGATCCATGCAACCGTCCTTGGAGCACGCAGTTTGTGCAAAATACTAGTCATTCATCAGGATGGTGTGAAGACGCCATTACTCATGACCAAAATGGAGTTCTCAAGACAATCGAGAAAGCACCAGGATTCTTTACAGATACCTATACGCATTACCGATTGTGCACTATCAGTGAAACGTCATGCTTGGAGAGAAGTTAAACTTTCAAGTATCGATCACAGGTGTCCCTTGGGGAGCCGGAGACGATTATGCCTTACATGCCAGTCACAGTCGGAAAGGAGAAGACCGTACCCCAAACCACACATCTCGGAGTCACCAAAGACAAGCACACATGACAAATAATTTCAGGCGTGTTCGAGGCAGGCAGCCGTGACAAACTGTCTGGGACCGTTCGGTAGGGGCCCCACCGCCTAGTGCAGCCAGAAGGTGCGGCCTAAATCAGTCGCAGGCAATCAGCCCTTACATTACGTCAATGTGGCAAACCCGATAACCACCACATCTGGGCCCAGTTTACAACCGTCCGGTGTACCAATTTCCAAACACACATGCCAGTGCATCCCCTTCATACCACCCAACAAACCACCTTCAGTGAAACACATTCACAAATTACAGAGCCAGTAACATCAGAGAGATAGGACAGTGTGTGGAAGAGAGCATGCCTTTCCGCCCGGCCGGCGCGCCCGCTCGGTCCGGCAGTTCGCCACGGCTGACGACTGGGAGGGCGGGCAGCGGGCGGGCCGGCCGGGAGGACCATGCGGCGGACGGCACGTGCCACCTACCCTCGTGGTCGGATGGAGAGAAGGGCGGGGAATCGACGCGGCCGGCGGTGGCGGCGGCGGCGGCGGCGGCCGGGGCGGGGGCGGGGGCGGCTGAGACGTCACCTGGCGCCGAGCTGCGGCTCACGTCGGCCTCCTCGCCGTCGCTGGGCAGCTGGACGCGCTCGGCGTGCTGCGGCGCCTCCGTCACCGGCGCCGGCACCTCGGCCTCCACTGCAGGGCACAGGGGAGAGAGCGGTCAGAGAGCGGAGAGGGAGCGGCCACACAGAGAGCGGAGAGAGTCACGGGGCTACACACAGCCAGCCGTGCGGCGCCACATTGGCGGTCAATGACAACGGACAAACTATCAACTAAGCAAGAATCCACTGGATTGTGTGAACGCTTGGATTGTGCAAATTGAAAAAAATGACAAATTAGCGAGGGAAATATCATTGCCGTCTAGCAAACTAGTTGACTAAAGCCGAAATCTCAAACCCCAACCAATTGCTTACCTACATTTTTTTCACTAAGTGCTGTTGAAGACAAAACAAGTTTGCAAGGTTCCACCTCGAAAACAATACTTATGGACATTCACTCTTTACATTTAAGCCCGATTCGTTTAATCCCTGTTCTAATCTCCGCTCCCTGTGAGTCTCACCGCTGGCCCCGCGGCTCTTCTGGTCGACGAAGCGCTTGTACTCCTCGAGGTCCTCGTCGGTGACCTGGTCGAACGGGTTCTTGGCGTAGGGTGTCTTGTAGACGGTGGCGTTGTGCTGGTAGTTGCGCTGGATGATACCCTTGGAGGCAGCTCCGACGAGTACCACCTGGTGGACAGGACAGGCAGACACCACACGGTCAGTACAAAAAGACAACAGGAACATTAACTGTCCTAAAATACAGACCATGTCGACCATGATGATGCCGATGCTTTGAGGACTTGAAACGCAGCGCGAATTCGGAAATAAGCATGTTAAAATGTAAGGCGGCTGAGCAAAACATTTTTTCCGATGAGGGTCGTAACAACAGAGTCACTTCGGTGCAAGAGCTCAGGCCCATCACAGGTGGAGTACCACGCATAAACATCTGTCCCCCGTCGGCGAGTCATACATCCGACTGCTGAACCTAGTCACAGGCTGCAGCTGTGCGTGTACAGTGCCCTTTTTCATATTTGCCCCTCCCCATCCAAGTGTTCGTGCGAAGTCTTCATGCCGGATGCGTTCGTCCCGAGGACAAGTTTCGATCTCGTCTCAGCTGATACATGTGTCTTGCACTAAGAACCTGCTATTAAAGGCAAGCTGCTCAGCCCGGTAACAGCCACCTCTGCTGTCTTCCATTTCTACCCTGTCCTTTCTGTGACATCATGAGCCCAACTATGTCCAATCGATACCAAATTTTCCTCCTCTGTATCCAAAAACCTCATCCCTCCCTCCCTGTCTTCATTTAGTCCCTCCCCTACCCTGTCTCCTTCTGACCCTTCCTCCCCATATGTCCCTTTCTTCCCATTCTATGTTTCCATCTGACCTGGTCGCCGCCGGCACGCTGTTCCGCCGCCTCCTGCAGCTGACGCGCCTCGTCCCAGGACACCCCCTCCAAGATGTGTGACTGGGGGCCGGCGCTCACACCGCCGCCGCGGCGGTTCTCCTTGATCTGACGGACAGAGAGCGGGCGGTCAGTCGGGAAGCAGCAGCCAAGACCATAAGGCGAGGCAGAAGTGTGCTAGAGAAGGATGATATCGAATATAAACAACAATCACATGAAATGTAGCACTTATGAAACGGCACCAAAAGCAGTTATGCCAAATACACATCATGCGAATGATACAGAAACAGCGGCACTCTACACTTCACGGTAACAAGTCTACTCGGTTGGATATAGACACCAGGAGTCACACGCACGGGACGACATCTAGCCGGACACTCTGAATCCCGATCGACTAACAATCCCACCAGCACCCTGCCACGACTACCACGAGCCGGCAGCGAGTCAGCGCCGGGCAGTGTCCCGTGTCCGTGTCAGTGTCACTGTCAGCGCAGACAGTGTCACTGTCTCACCTGCTGTTGGAGCTGTTTGAACTCCTTGGGGTTGGTGTTCTTGGGCACAAACTGCAGGGCAGCGTCCACCTTGATGGGCGTGTTGCCGTGCGAGGGAGATCCGTCTGGCACCCACTGAAACACATGTACACGGCGCAATGAAATAACTACATTGTCGATAAAATAGACACATAAATGCAAGTCAATGCACACAACACCAGTCAGTGTGACAGAATACTCAAGGCGACCAAATAACCAGGTGGACCAAAAGAAGCAATAACTTGAGGCTGAGTGGGTAGCCAACTTTCCATGCATTTGAAGATGTGCATTTAGCAAAAGACGCCCGTATCACGCATCAATTGCATGACGCACTGACAGTAAACGCACACAGTTTCGCCCAAATATTATTTAGCTGACTTGAGCAGCAACCGACATGGTCGCCACAGAACACAGGAAATAGAATATGCAAAAGTGCAGGGCTGCGGCGCTGTCCAACTTTCGCACGAATCGTGGATCAAGGCCCCGATGGCGCCCCCGGACGTCCACACTCCGCACATTACCTTGTAGATGGTCTTGGGGTCGTTGGTGCCCGTCTCGAGCATCTCGACCTTCTGGTAGACGTTGGGTGTGTTGAGCCAGCGGGTCCGCTCGCCAGGCCGGGTCTTCCGCATCGGACTGCCGAGCAGAGCAGCGGCCAGATTAGCGATGAGTGCAGCCAGCGACACGTGGGGCATACTAGCGTTCAGCATTCGCTCCCAGTTGACAGATTTGCCATGTTATGCATGCATTCACTATCATCGAAGAGTAAACGTGATACTTTACTCACAAGAAACTATCAAGAAGTCGAGCAAAACTTTGAGTTGGCTTTCAAAGCAAATGAGCAACCATTTCACCCAGAAGCGTTCCCGAGTGTTCCCGCCAGCCAGTCTGGCCGGACCCCCCAGCGACCGACAGTGCGCCACCACAACCCCTCTGACGAACGCCCACCTGTATTTAAAGACGTCGTCGATATCTGCCAGGTAGGAGCTGGCCGCCGGCGGGTACTCCACGTCGCTCTGGTGGGCCGGCGCCTCGGCGCGCATCGTGTGCCGGTAGATGTGTCCGGTCCGGTAGCCGGCGTTGTCCATGACTCGCATCAGGGCCTCGAACTCGAGCTCGCCGAGCCGCCACTGGCTGCGCGGGGAGGGCCGCTCCTCGCCGGAGGAGGACAGTGTGGGCCGGGTGGGCGGACGGCGCGACTCCTCGAACACCAGCTGCCGCTGCGCCTCGTCCACCAGCGTCAGGTTGTCCACGCCCAGAGGCATCATCACCACCTGGAAGCCAGCGGAGTGGGAGGGGTTAAAAGAAGCAAGGGTAAAACAGGCTGGCGTATTATTACAGGTATACAGGTCATTGTCCGATCGTCGGCGGACAGGAGTTGCCACTGGGAGTGGTCTGCGGAGGGTCACACAGTCAGGCGTGTGGCGATGGGTAGTCGGTTAGGTACCGTACACGACAGTGGGCGCCGACTGCTGAGGGCACACCTGCCAGAGCAGAGACCACGACCGATACAAATTGCGTACAGACGTACCACGGGGAGCATGACCTAACTCATGTGATCGATAATAAATGAATGGTACATTACGGCGCCGGAAAAGCGGTCACCATTTGAAATAAGGAAATACCACATACAAATCAAGAAATAAGACACCCTTGCTCGACTCCCGTTTATCTCGCAGTCCCTTTCCACCGACAGAAAATACTTCTTCCTGCTACTCCACCGCAACACCCTTCATCCAACCCAGACCAACACGACACTGACCTGGTTCTTGCAGGCGGCCACCAGGTGTGAGAGCAGGAAGAAGGCCTCCTCGATGTTCTCTCCGCAGCAGAGGGCGCCACGGTTCTGCAGCAGCATCACCTTGTTGTGCACGCCCAGGTCGCGGGTGAGCCGCTGGTGCTCGGGGTCGGCGCCGTCGGCCGGCAGCCGGTGCACGCTCACCTCACCCAGTACGCAGGCGTGCTCGGTGAGCGGCAGCAGGCCGGCCCGCAGCGCCGACACCGTCACCACGGCCGGCTCCTGCACGTGCAACACCACGCGCAGGTCCGGCCGCGCCGCGTGGATGGCCGCGTGCTGCGCGTACGCGGCGCTGTTGAGGCCGAGCCCGCTGCTGCCGGCGGCCACGATGTTGCCCTGCATGTCAGCCTTGAGCAGCGAGGCGGCCGTGATCTCGCCGTACAGCAGGCCGTACGGGTTCACCAGAAAGTGCTCCAGATCCTGGCTCAGCCGCACCTGTCGGCGGCGGAGAGGTGTTAGCAGTGAACTGTGGACGCGACCATCATCGATGTGACAGGGGACAGTGTACGGTGGCGCGAGGATCGACGGGGCTGCATCTGAAGGAATATCCAGAAGAGATGGTGTATATGGGTAATGAAAGGGAACTTCATGATGCAATTTTTCAGCAATACTTATTCAGATCAGTGACTGCTTGCTGAAGCTGCTACTCTGCAAATGTCCCAGAAACACATGCACGCCTGACGTCACATCCACTGTAATTTATCGTGTAATTAATTGGAATAATTTGCATCAACGTAGGACAGTTGGACGGATTATCATTGACGCGTACTCACTCGCCACAGGAAACATTAAAGGAAAATGGTGACCAAACCCGTTTAGCCAATACACCCGAACGTAGTTGCACTCCTTCAGTGTCAGACCACCTACGTTACGCGGCGAACTTCGCAGCGGTCAGGTTGAATGGCGATAGCGAGATAGGCGCTAGAGCGCTAGAGTACACAAAAAGTGGACGATAACCGGCGCCGGTCCCCATCAGTCTGGGCTTGACACACAGGGTACACACAGCAGCCGATATCGGAGTGTAAGCCGATAAGCATGCTGGGCGACGGGCTGTCGGCACCGGGAGTAAAGGCTCAGACAACCAAGGGCAGTTGTGGGTGGGCCTGAGATCTTATTGTCGTCGGCAATCTAATGCACAGCCAAAACGTTGACCCCAGCTGAGCTTTTGGATTGCCCGCCTCCGTATCTCTTTCAACTAGAACCACCATGTCTCATTGCGTCCAAAACCTTCACACGTCCCTCATTTATCTACACCAAAGATCTCTAACCAGCACGGCCCACACTCATCCTACCGAGGGTATTCCTCAGTCACTAACCGTGGCATGGTTGCAGACGCCCTGCGCCCAGCCGAACATGTCCATCACGCGCAGCAGCGAGGCCAGCTTACAGCGCAGCATCTTCTCCGGCTTGGTGAGCTGCGCCGCCTCGGCCCCGCGCAGGTCGGCGATCGGCTGCACGCACTGCATCCCCGCTGCGGGCAGAGGGATGGGGTCAGCGGGCCGCTCCGGTCCGGTGAGCACGCCCCTCTCCCCGGCGCGGCAGCGGGACGTACTGCAGCGGTGTTACGCGCGGTATATTGTGTTGGACCAGCTGTGTAACGAGGGCGACAGAGCATGGCGTCAACAATGTGCGACAGTGTGCGGCATAACGCCATCGCGACCTGATCCCACTGCGACACATTTGACACAAGGCGCGTGACACAATGGACACGAGACACGTGACATATTTGACACGAGACACGTGCCGTTTGATACGAGGCACGTGGTCTGCACATGACTGAACCGATTAGAACGATTGCAGAAAGTGCACATGAGTACCTTGCCCAATGACGAGAGACTGATGCTAGAAAGAAAACACGTGGCAGTCCTTTTACTCATTGCAGTTCAGCGGTGTAATCAAGGTTCGAAGTCGATAAGCGAGCCTGTCGTGAACAGCCCTGTCTGGATATTCTGGCTCAAAGCCTTATGCTGGCGACAGATAAGAGCCTACGATGGGGACGAGCGGCCCTCCATCACTTCACTGTGCAAGCTGCGTCCAACGGAGTCGGATAGCGGAAAATTGGTATGGCTGTCCAGTGTCCGGCCGGGCCAAACCGTCTAGCTCAGTGCTAGGAAACAAGTCTCTGAGTCCACATAGTTGAATTGAATAGTATCGCGATGTCAATATCCTGTCGGAGGCTGTAGGCGCGGCGGTTACCTCGGCCAGTGACGGGTCCTGCGCGCACCAAGCCCAGCATATCGGAGAGGGTGGAGCCGCCCACACAGTTGCCCTGCGTCATGCCGGCCTCCACCAGACGGTCCAGCTCCATCTGGGGACAGAAGAGACGGCGGTTACATACAGGTGCGGATAAATGTGCAAAGAACCAGAGGACGGGGCACGCTAAATGGAAGACAGACACACGCGCAGTTATGCAGGGGCAAATAGACAAAATCACACACGGGGCACACGGTACAGTATCACACGAGAGCGGACGTTGAACAGTACGACTTCGCAGCGAACAAGGCTCAATATGGTAGACAGAATAGACACCAAGCAGTTCCATCGCCAGAGCTACTTGTTCCACCACTTCCAACGAGGTTAGAAAAATATCCGAATCATTTCATCACCTACCAATCCCATCAACCATCTTTCACTCCGTCCCACAGTCCGACCACCCAATCCCACCGTCTACCCGTCCCGTCCCACCGTCTCGCTGACCCAGCGGCCAGACAGGCGGCGCGCCGCCCCGTCAGCAAACACAACAAACAGCGCCGCAGCCCCGCCCGAGGACCGCCACTGGAGGGGGAGGGGTGAGTGGACACCAGCCCTGCCGCTGGCGACAGCGGCGACCCCGTCAGTGTGGGATCTCAGTGGGGAGCGCCGAGCGGCACCAGCAGCAGTCAGAGGACACAGCCTTTGAGTGAGAGCATGGAAACTTCAATAACCAACATTATGCAGTGATACAGATCCCAACAGAGAATAGGAAAACATAGACTACCTATCATCAATTTTCAGGAGTATAAAAAAACACGAGCTTAACAACCCAAGAATAAGAACCAGCTTAAATAGCGAATAACCAGTAAATCGTGAGAGAATGCACTGTAATTAAATAAATCTACAAAGAAGCAAACCTCTCTATGTATAAGGGCACTAACCCTAAGCGAAGCAGGGTAAATAAGTACCCGGTTTCCTCATTACACGGCCGTTGTAACAACCGTGTCCACTACAACAGCCATCAATCTATATTTGCAACAATGTTTATACATGCAACAGGTGACACGACATTGTTTTCCTCTTAGCCAGCACTTCTCTAGCATCCCCTCCCCAGCGGTTCAGGTTTGATCATTGACTTGCGGGCTACTCAGTTGCCTCCTGCCTCTCCATCACGACGGTTGCACAGCTGCACATAACAACGTACACGATACAGGGCAGCTAAAAACACTGCACTGGCAGAGTGATGAGCTGATATAATCATAATTAAGTCCCCGTCGAATAGGTCCCCGTCAAATAGGGTTGTGGCAGTAATGACAAGACTGTTGCTGTAGCGGCATAGCAATTATGAATGAACATTGAATCAATGACAGCACAGCCCGAGTCGCGTAAGTCACGTTGAGATGTGCCTAGGACGCAGCTGGGAACCACCGAACGGCGTCTCGCCGAGTCCGGGACCGTTCAATGACGACTGGCGTCCTCCACTGGCAGGCAGAAACCATCCTCTCATTGAGCCCGACTACCCTCCTGGAGTCACGGTTCGACGCTGACTGTGACATAACGCGGCGAGAACGGCTCAGAAACAGTCAGCCATGTCGATAGCGGACCACACACCCGAGGACCAGAGTCCATCAGCTAATGTAAGCTCGGCTATTTTGAGACCAGACTCGATGGTGTCATAGCCATCACAAGTGACCCATGACAATGGCGTCTCCAGCACGCCACCAAGGCATAACAGGGTATGGACGCGGTGGTGCGGGAAATTTAGTTAGTACAATATAGTGTACTGCCGCCAAGTTCTGTCGGAATCACGACCCGACGGCGATACATAACGAGTGTTAGCTCAACACACAGACAGCAAAGGGGCTGATAAATATCCTGGAGCCAGTGACCGGAGTCAACTCATTCAACCCAATAGCCGTGATTCACTCACATCGGGTCACCCAGGGGGTCGTTAAAACTCTGAATAGTAAAATCACTCAAGAATCGAATTCCATATGATCTTGCCAAACAAATCCGGCTCCATTTGCCCAGTGCAGGGGTGCTGTCTGCCCCCCCCCCCCCCTCCCAGACACCGCTCGCACCACCCGGCCGGCTACATCGATATGCACGGCCGGCGTCCAGGCGGCGCCACCGTCGGCCGGAGCGTGCCACGCCCACCCCGGCCGGCGCCGGTCCGAGCCGCCGCAAAAACCACCACCGTGCCGCTGTACCGGCCAGCGGTACCGACACACACGCCACGCGCCACCGGTAGCGGCAGCCAGAGGGACGCCCGGCACCAGAGACAGCGTGCAGAGCACGGCACGCAACCGGTTTATTGATCAGCGCGGCCTCTGACCCCGCTACTAGGAAGGACAGTGTATCCGGGAAGTGGTGATCAATAAACATCGGCGGGCTAGTTCTCAGGACGGTTGGGAGGGGCGCAGTGGGTCCTATTGCAGTATGGGTCGGTCTGCGTTCTAGCCACCAGGGTCGTAAAGGCAGTCAGATATAGGGAATAGGATAGGAGCGGGAGCCGTGGTAGTGATGAGACGGATTGAACTCAGACTGGAGGCCGGGCACGAGTCTCCCAGATGGCCTCTGGTATCCGCCCTGCCCAGTATCGTCTGATGCCGATGATCTCAGAGGTATCACATAGACACTCGCGTCGGCCAACAAAGTACAGAACGTTCTTAGTCATGGACTCATGGCACTGGGATGTACGAAACACCCCCTCAGGCTTTAGAACCTCCACAATGTACCATCCACATTGATCTTCGCATTAGATCAGCATTTAGTCACAGACCGCAGAAATGTCTGTACCCTTTTGCGGTCCTGATGAAACCAGGAAACGCATACCACGGTACATGACTCAGCCACAAGCAGTCGCAGACATAAACATTGACCAGTCGAGGACTGACAGACACAAACCAGCCTATGCACACCAACAGGGCCGGTGGTGGACCAGTGGCCAACAATCCCAGGCTTCGGCCCCTAACTTAGCCCAGGCACCAATATTGACCAAACAACCCACACTCCAGTGTTGATCCGCGCAATCATACTAATCCAGTATAATCAGAGTTCAAACAAAATTCGTCTCAGTCAGCTGTGACACAAAACACCAAATCCTCGGTACATACCCAAGTTACTTCCCCAACTCTGCCACACCATTTATTTCACCTACTGTTATAAATAACATTCTCCGATAGCAGTCTCATTCCCACCCTTACTCAAACCACCCACTCTATACCTACTACCACCCCTGCCAGCGCACTCCTCCCCATCTCCCGTCTAAGCACGACTCTTACCCTGAAGGCGGGCGACTGGAGGACAGCCTCGACGCGTTTCCGTCGACTCATCTCCCTCATGTCGGCGTCGACATCGGCGGGCCGCATCCTCTGCCGCTCCAGCTCCTCCTCTGACAGGCCGTTGGTGTCGGGCGCGTCGCCGGCGCCGCCATTGGCCGTCGCAGTCGCCGTCTCCATGGCTGGTGGAAAAGGTAGGCTGGGTTAGGCCCACGCTGGTGGACACATGGTATGGCTGCAGTCAGGGAATATATGTGGTAGTTGTGACTTGTGAGGGTTTGTGGTGGTTGAGGCTTTGTGGTGGTTGTGCGTAGGAATAGTCCGTGCACGTGAAGATAATTCCGCCACACGTGGTGGGTGAGGGGATGACATTTTGGAAGAATAAATGGAACCAATGAAAATAGAAACAGGTGTGCTAGTACCGATGCTGTCACAGCTGTCCGTCTCTGATACCCAACAAGTGAGCGGCAACTCGTGGCAATAACAGACAGGGAAAATCAATAAAAAAGAGATCTGCGAGAAATGCAGGACATAAGTTTGCCCAAACAAAGAAGAGTCCAACACAGTCAACCTTGTCTAGATCAGGACAATGGCATATCACAGGGTCAGTTCCTGGCGCCATCAGGCAGGGAGAGGGTTACTTTTCTGGTCGGAATGGGTAGCATTGCAAAAGGTCAGCGATAGACAGTTATAGAGGGACTGTGTGGGTTGCGGCAGTTCGAGATAGGGACGGCTTTGGGGCTCAGCGTCATGGCGGGGCTTTAGATAAAACAGCTGAAAAATACAGGGAAAGCCTCTATCGAAGAACAAACAGCATAAATATCACAAGACACATCACAGATATTGAAAAGCAGAATAGCATTCATTCGGCCACACATCGCTCATGAATAGCGTAGCGCAGTGTCTGTGTATATTCAGATGTCGGAGCTGCTGCGTGTCCTGTCCAGAGTCGTCGCTAGTCCCCGTTCCGCAGCGGCAGCACGGCAGTCATCAAAGCTGCTATGGATGATGGCCGAACGTCAAACACCAATCCGCTCGCAGCTGATCCACTGACGCAATCTGACACAGATGGTGACACACGCTGCTCGGCGCACGGGTCAGTAAACCATGCTGTCTCGGCTCTGACGTGTGCCGCACGGCCACCACGGCGCTATGGTGACCTGACAGTCCGCCACGGCGCCACGCGTCGAAGAACGGTGACCGCTACTGATGGGCTGCAAACCGGCGCTGGTCGCCAACCATCATTCAACTGGCCAGCGCACCGCTGCAGCCGCCGGCCCACTCAAACACTTCTGCACTCTACCAGAGTAGACAGATCTGCAGTCGCGATTAATAACTCTGCTCGATCTCGGCAGGACCACCGCTGGATAGACGCAGAGCCGACGGCAGATGCCGCAGTTCTACGAACTAAGACCAAGTTTTCGGGTACTAGCGCTGTGTTCCAGTCAGGAGCAATAGGGCGGTGCACGACTCCATCCACAGTTGCTGCCGTCATTCCACACCGCAGCCGACACCAGAGGCCAGCGGCGCGGCGGCAAGGCGGCCGTGGCAGGGTGCCAGGGACCGGCTCGGCGTTCACGGACCACCTCACCCCGCCGTCGGATCACAGCCCACGGGTGGAGTGGCACGGCCGGATCACAGCCCGCGGGAGCAGCGGCAAAGCCCGTCCACAGCCCGCGGGAGCAGCGGCATGGGCCGGATCACAGCCCGCAGGAGCAGCGGCAGCACGCCCGGATCAGAGCCCGCCGCGGGAGCGGCGGCATGGCTGGATCACAGCCCGCGGGAGCAGCGGCACGGCCGGATCACAGCCCGCGGGAGCAGCGGCAGCAGGGCCCGTGGCTTGAGCAGCGGCATGACAAGCAGAGCCACGGCCGAGCGCAGGGCAACGCGGCCTTGATCGAGTTACACACTCTGGTCACGGTGGTATGTCAGCATTACATACGACACGATCCGATGTAGGTGCATGCATGGCACATGATAGCTGGCATAACACACGGTGTCCAGATTTCATGCGCAACGAGTATGCCTCACAAATTTATGACGCCGCCAGCATTGCATAGTCAAACAGGAGTCGTCTAGTTAATTCAGTTGTGATCAAGATAAATTGGCGCAGCTGTTGCATGTTTGTATTTTGATGGCGCAGTAATACCCAATCAGCTGGGGCACGGGTGAGTCAGAGCTCAGAGCCAGCCAAGCGTGCCTAAGGCGTGTCGCTGTCCGGCGGGAAGGGTGACTTCACGACCCAAGACGGCCATCCAAACTACCGACCCGATCAATGACCAAATAGGATGACTCACAGGCCACAGCCCTAGCATAGCACTCAACCAGTTCAGATCCCGATGGGGGCGCTCTTCTGACAGTTATAGGTGAGTCTCAGTTGACATCAACAGGAGCGCTCTCCAGACACCTACAGTGGCTCTCAGTCACGTGCCGTTACCACGCTGAGCACTTTCAGACATGGCAGCTGGTCCGGAACCCCGACCACACAGTTCCGCTACCTCTAAATAACTCAGACGACGCCCATTCCGGTCAACGCCACATTCGGAGAAATATTTCAGAGGTTGTCTGGCCGACCGGGTTTGTGGACAGCAGTAAATATGGTGACCGGTTAAAATGAAAGGCGTCCGTCAGGTAGCCCAGAGAGCACTGTCCGGATAGCAAAACTCCGAGAACTGTTGGAAACTTCAGCACGGCTGTCTCAGACTGGCCGCAGACTGGACAGAATTGGCTCATGAATTCGTAGCTCGCAATCGGTAGAACAAATCTATTTTTGACCTTGGGACTTCCTCGTCCATCTCTCAGGCTTCTGGCTTCATCCACGGCGCGCCTGCAGGCCTCGTATAAGGTGCGACACACTCCTAAATCAGCTCCGTTGGCAGCCATTGCAAATCTGAGCAGCTGTGCTGGCGTCCTGCCTATACGTGTATTACCCACCGCCTCGAATGTTCTGGCTAAGTTACCCTGTGCAGGGTGCTTCGCTCACAGCAGAGAGCGGGCAGCCGTTATCCTGTGTTGACTGTCGATCGCTCTATCTCCCCGTAGTCACCCGGGTGACTGAAGACACCCCACTCCGCACACAAACAATGTCCGCGCTGGCGGAAGTGCCGCGACCCGCCATCACCTCTGTTCATTTGGGAGGAACGCGCGGCGGTATGCCGGCATCCCGGCCGCGACCACAGTCCACTTGTCAGCCACCAGTCCTGTCCTCTCCAGAAGAAACGGGATTCCGGGCTGACAGGAGGCGGGGTACTGCAGACGGGACAGGCAGAACAGACTGGATCACAGACCACAGACCGAGCACAGACCGGACCACAGACCGAGCACAGACCGGACCATAGACCGGACCGCAAACCTGAACAGCCACCAGGGCAGCCAGCCACAGAAGCGGAACACATAAATACCGCTGACTGAATGAGACGATGCTGGAATGGAGAAGCGTCAACGGCCTTCAAACGGTTGCTGCAGATCCCACCGTATCCGTTCCGTGCCCCGTGACACGACATCGACGCGGGCAGAGGTCAACCAAGGGGTCGTGTCAACAACTCATCATAGCTTGATAGCCACTCATAAGACCAACTACCAGAGGTTTCGCAATGAAGCCCTTCATCACCGACGTCAGGCAGCCAACCGGATCCTCGCAGCCCTGCCAGAATGACGTCTACGGAACGACCTATGGCACGGAGCCACCTCTGTCAGAGTGCTCAAACCAGAAGCAAGCTAATTAATCTAACAAATGCACGCTATTTCAACCACAGGCAGCTCGGATGACTAAAGCGTCAACAGGGAACGGCCCAATTTCACGACCACAACAGAGCGGGCAGCGTTCTCGGAGCTGGCCACAGTTCCGCGCACCGCTCAACGCCCGAACAGTTTCATGTCCGCCACTCATGACTGCGGCATGCGGTGCCCTTTTGGCTGCCGACGTCAGGGTGGGAGGTCCGCCGGCTCACCGCCCGTCGAATTCGACGTTATGGCACGTCCGACGACCGTCGAGGTCGACGGCCTCCCGAGACGGTCGGCAGCGTGCCGGGCGAGGCCGTACGAGTGCCTCCATTCTCAAAAACGGCTGCCAAACTGGGCCAACGGGCTACGGTCCGCGGGGCAGGGAGGGGCGAGGCTCACAGCAGCTTTGTATGGACGTCGGACACGGAAAGAACTCGGAACAATGAAGAGACGCGCAGTGGCCTGGCTGGTCCCCATTTTGATGCAGCATCTACTTAACCTCGATAAATACTCCGGAACATGCTAAGCGTCAGTACAGAGCAGAAACCATTATACGAATAAAAATGTAGAAGCCATTATAAACAAAAGAAGAAAGAGGGCGTTTGATTCTGATAAAGTTCTTGAGATGTTTTCTGGATGGGCGATGGCGGGTAGAAAATGTCGTGTCTTGGGCATCTTTCAGCGGAATTCCGACATAGCCGGGAGCAACAGTACTTGTTTGATGCGGGACGAACCAAAGTAGACCGTGAACCCATCTGAGTCAGCTAACACCCAACAACGCATGGCCCACGAACCGCGGCGCCCGGATCAACACAGAACATGGCTAGCAGCACCGGCCGATGACGCACGTGGACAGAGCCTGCGGCCAAAACCGCACGTGGCAGACCTTAGCCGAGGCAGGACGGTATCCGGCCGGTCGGCTCCGGCAGTTCAGAGGGAGAAGCGTCCAAAGAGATAGGTATGAGCAGAAGGCAGCCCAGCCCAGCCAGACGCTACTCACTGGTGCCTCAGCTTTGGGGTTGGGTGGATCGATTGAGTCCCAGCTCCAAAAGAAGTCCAATTTACCGCCGTCCAAAAGACACAACAGATAAGAACACGCGACTCTCCCGTCGCTGTTCATTAGTGTGGATCCATTTTCTAAAGGGCGTGGCAGGCAGAAAGAAACTCTATCGGAACTTTTCGCTAAAAGGCGGTCTTTACCAAAATAACTCATTATATTAGTTAGGATTGGCATTTATCAAGACAAACATCACTCAATCTGCTGTCAGAGCTCTTCTAAAGTTGACATACGAGTTGACAGACATACGAGTCGACATACATATGAGTTCCTACAATTACTGGCTACTGCGCAAATATAATACGAAAGAATAGAATTGCAGAAGTTACTTCCTAGTGCATTGATACGTTGAAGAATATTAACCATTTGATAATCAAACTTCCCTCATTACGCTCAATGTTC